TCGTAGTGGGGTCGTAGTGGGGTCGTTGTGGATCATCGTGGGGTCGTTGTGGGTCGTTGTGGGGTCGTTTTGGGGTCGTTGTGGGTCGTTGTGGATCGTTGTGGGTCGTTGTGGGGTCGTAGTGGGTCGTTGTGGCTCGTTGTGGGGTCGTTGTGGCTCGTTCCATGTTTTAGTAACTACGTATTAAAAGTATGTTTTGCTACGTTTACATTATCGATCAAAGTAGTGTATCAAAGTCAAAGTCTTCGAGTAAATGTTTTATTTCAAAATTTCTCTCTCTGACCCTACAAGGACAACCTTCCACAACCTTTCTGACGCAATGCTCCGATAATTCATGCATCCTTCTGCGATGATCGTGAAACGAACTGCCCTTCGGATTGTTGAAAACGCTTGAACACAACTCAAATTTTCCATTTCGTACTGCAAATGGCTACGACTACGACTTTCTCCTCGTTCACAGATTCGCCGTAGGCATTTCTATAGACATCTCCATTAACAGCGCCAGGCTCTTTACCAATCCATTGCTTAACATTTTCTGAATCTGTGTCTTGAATGATGATATTGCCAGTTTTACAGTGAGTGTTATTCACAGTTCTTCATTCTGACATTATCATCATATTGGTAAATAATCACTCCACCATAGTTGTAGGCTAGTAACGTCCAAGATATATGTCAGATTTGCATGAAATATGTATTGTTTCGAGATTAACACCGTTCTTGGAACGAGACTTGGGAACTACTACGATCTTGTCTTTCTCAGGCGCAGGGACGAACGCTGCCGCAAACCTTGTCAACCTCACATGCTTATCCGCCATAACTTGTAGTAACGTAACTAGCCTATAGCTATAATCCGTGGGTTATTGACATTTCTTATGCTTTGTATACATATTCATATAACCTAGGCTGTTGTATACTCGAATGCTCACTGAAATATTTGACCGTTTTCCTAATAGGGATCACAATTGTATATCAAAATATTGAATTTCTCACTACCTTGCTGGATGTGTGTCAAATAAAAACTTGAATATGACCAGTCTGCATGGTTTCGCAGTAGAACAAGCTTTATTCGATTTGTGTGTGTGTGTGTGTGTGTGTGTGAGGGGGCACACGATAAAAGAAGACGGCAACAAGCGAAGTTAGCAGCTATACTACTTTCAAGCTGGCTATAACGTCGATTAAGAAAAGCTATATAACGTCAAAGTTTTTTCCAGTTTTACGGGTAGTTCAGAAACGCATTAGTTTCTCGTTAAGTCTTTTTGTTTTTCATTAAGGAAGGTTAGTTGCTAAGTACGTCAAACTGTTCTTCTTTCTTTATATTTGTATTCAAACTGAACAAATTGTTCTAAGAATGAAACATGAATATTTTATGAACATGGTTCCTGCATGCAGGAAAATATTTTGTCTGTTTCATAAAATGATTAAAACTAAAACGCTTTAAACAGAAGCATTTTTAAATTATCACTATTTCAGGCAATGGATTAATACAAAAATGTTCTGTTTACGATTTTTAACCAGACAAACTATCTAAATCACAACAGAAGCTTATATATACCTTTGTTCCCATGCACGCTTGTGATTTTACATGCATACAGTGACTATAATTATTTAGTTGCAAACGTGCATATCACAGATAATATTAACAAGTTTAAAAAGATCGTACACGCGTTTTCTGGTTATATCGAGCAAGATGAAGTCGTCACAGAATATTACAAGACCATTTCTTTTTATCAAAATCTTTCATTAATTCTTCTACTTCAAAATTTCTCTGTCTTACCCAGGAAGGGCCTGCGCTCTTCCAATACTTCACTATCTTTCTGACGCAATGCTCTGACACTTTATGCATATCTGGGTTATTGTCATGATATTCACTGTTTTTAGGACTGTTGAAAACGCCTGATTTCTTTTCAAATTTGTCAAATATGGAAAATATTCCATTCTGTATTGAAAAACCTTCGCCAACGACTTCCGCCTTCACAGCTTCACCGAAAGCATTTTTATAGACAGCTCCGTGAACTTTACCAGGCTCTTTACCAATCCATTGCTTAACATTTTCTGAATCTGTGTCTTGAATGACGATATAACCAGTCTCACAGTGAGTGTTGTTCTCAGTTCTCCATTCTGACTTGCCGTCGTATTGGTAAATCATGATTCCACCATAGTTGTGACCTGGTTGGTATGTGTCAGATTTACAGGAGATGTGCATGGTCTCAACCTTGATGTCTTTCTTGTATTTTCTCGCATCTTTCTTATCAGGATGCTCTGGGTTTTTCTTGGACTTGTCTTTTGCTGGCGCGGGGACAATAAAAGCATCAGGTTGATGACTTACATAATTGGTGGTGACAGTTGAGGTATCAGTTTGGTTTCGGTCATGTTCGACCTCTGACACAGTTTGGCGAATGATAAAATAGCTATCATCTTTACCACGGACAATATCTGCAGCAGTTGGGTTTTCTTCAATTTCTAACTTGTTCAGCGGTATTTCAACAACTTTTTCTTGGCAAGACATTTTCTAAATACATTTTTTGGTGATAATTTCAAACGAAAGGTGATATATGCAGCGTTTATCTACAGTAATCTGCGTGTCAGGCTCTATGCTTGAAATAGAGCCTGTAAGTCAATAAAAAGCGGATTTATGCGTACGAATCTTACGTAAAATCCCTATTGGTCAGAAATAAATAGCCCTGCCTTATAAGGTAATATCAAGTTGTTGTTTACATATGATATTCTGTACTTGTAATTGTACTTTTGGCCACATTAACTACTGCCTTTGCTGTCTATAAACACGGTCAATAACCGTTATTATTATTTAGCATGTAATTCCTGGCCGTTTAATGAAAATTGGAATATTTATCTTCGAAATATTGGCGGAAAAATTGTCCGTTATTGTCATATTTTAAATTAGTTTTGATAATCTAATTAACAATCGCCATTTTGATTGGGTGTTATTTTATGTGCATCCAAATCACTGTCCACTTTCTATTGACTTCAGTAGCAGGCTCTATTTCAAACATCGAGCCTGACACGCAGGCTAAGGTTTATCTAAAGAGATGCGTGCACCAGTGAATCAAAGGTTGAAAGCTTTTTGTGTGGCCATGTGAGCTTAAGATTGAATCCTAATTAGCCATTTCCCAATTAAAGTCCTGGGTCTAGTCGCCCGAATCCCATGTTGAAGGGACAAGAAATATGGCAGCACGTATTCAAATTAAATGTTTAATGTAAAAAGGAGATATTTCATTTTTGGTTGTCTATAAACAATTGATCTTTGATAGTATGTAGATGCTGCCACCTACCACCATACATTTTGTCCCTCCAAACGATCCCAGAATGCACTGTGATCTCTTTTGGGAAATATAATTTTTCCTGTTCTGTAATTGGTTTAACGTTTATGAATGCTGCATGCCGACAACAACCGGAACCCCTAAATTTAGGAGTTCCGGTTGTCTATTTTCCCAGAGTCAATGCCTTCCGCGCACAGGCATTGCTCTGGGTACGAGATTGGGAAAAGGCTAATTGGCCAATCTTTTGGTTCTAGAACTTCCGAGAGCTTCCTGGAATAACAATTACAGCACTGTTATGGAGCATAACATTAAATTATACATTGATAATCTTATCATGTCTATCACCATGCATGCAAAAATGAAAGAACTTATATACACAACACATCTCCGATTGCATGCATGCATGCATTGCTGTTTGTTCATCGGTTAAAAAACCCTATATCTTCTTTCATAGAACGGCAATCTAATTTGCTAAGCCTAAGGAGTAAGGGCGTCAAACTGTTCTTCATTTCTCTACACTTGTGTAAAACGAAAATGAAACATTCCAAGAGTGAGTCGAGAAACTCAGCATGGCTTCCGTGATAAAATATTTTGTGTCTTTCATAAAGTAGTAAAAACTAATACGTTCAGTTTTGAGCAAAAGAATTTGATTAGCCGGATTATATACAGTGTACATGTACATGAATATGCAGTGGTAGTAAAGGTGCGAAGTTATTGAATTACACGGTTCGAGAAGTACAGTATTAATTAATGAGTAATATTTCGCTGAAACAAAAGTATGATTTCTTCGAGAGGAAGTGTAATTTCCCATTAGTATCATTTTATAGTCAATTTTATACGAGTATATATAATCAATGACAAGAAACACTGCATTTAGCCTAATGTAGTCAAAGTATCAAACGAGCACTGCCATACGCGCCTTTGTCAATTTTGAGAGTAATTATTTCTAACATTAATTTTCCATTCATACCTGTAAAAACTGTGAATTATCTTTGATTCTTCTTTTTCTTCTTCGTAAAAGCATAAATAAGAGCTCAGAAAATATATATTTTCAAGTTGATTGTTTTTATTGTGTATTTTCAGTTCTCGTATTTGTGCCGATTAATCTTTAATACACACAGTATTAATGTTTAATTGGCACGTTCTTTTTACAGTTTTCGCGCAGACGATCCATCTAATTGTAACACTGAACAGCTGCATGCCTATAGTGCCTACGCAACTTTGTTTTCTTGTCAGGCCGAAAAACACTTCCATCGCTGTGTACAAAATACTGAACACAATTATTGGAAATAGTGAAATTCTCATTTCGAAATTAAGTTCATTTTGGTTTAATTGCATAGCTATGCAGCCTATAGCCTTTAATAGCGTTTTCACTGTATAGCAGACGAATTTAGATCGAAAGTTCCAACTAAACGTTTACATGAGACGGTTATGAATAATTTTTCTCTTATGTGAACAGGCAAAAGCTTACACTTCCCATGCAAAAGCGTATGCGTCGTACATTCTTTGGTACTGGTCGCTACAAACAACACTTTAATTCTTATATACATTTTACAAAACCATGAAAGTAACGCGTATTTTATTCAATAACAACACCATTATAAATTATGTATACACATGCAAATTACGGTTATCATGTTGGCTGGCTATCGAACGCAATAACTGAGTCCAGTAGTCTTTGATATTATATGAATATGCTACAGACAAACCTTTTTAAAATTAATAAAACCGAGAAAGTAATATACGTACATGTATGTATATATATATATATATATATATATATATATATATATATATATATATATATATATATATATATATATATATATATATATATATATATATACATGTATAGGCTTAATACATTGTATGCAAATTAGGTTAGGCATAAAGTTCACTGTTCAATGAAGTTAATAGTATAGAAATTATTATGTCTACTGATCAAAATCTTGGAGCAATTCCTTCACTTCAAAATTTCTCTGTTCTACCCGGGAAGAGCCTACTCTTTTCCAGTATTCCACTATCTTTCTGACGCAATGCTCCGACAATTTATCCATCTCTCTGCGATCTTCATGAAATGCACTGCCGTGTGGGTTGTTAAAGATGTGTGAATTCTTTTCAAACTGTCCGTATAGTATTGCAAAACTTTCGCCAACGACTTCGACGTCCTTCGCAGATTCTCCGAAAGCGTTTCTATAGACAGCTCTTTGAACTACACCAGACTCTTCACTTATCCATGTCTGTACGTTATCCGAGTCTGCGTCTTGAACGACGATATAGCCAGTCTTACAGTGAGTGTTGTTGGCAGTTTTCCAGTCTGACTTGCCGTCGTATTGATAAATAATCACTCCGCCATAGTTGTGGCCTGGTTGATACGTGTCAGATTGGCAGGAAATGTGCATGGTTTCAACGTAAATTTTTTGAGGCTTTCCCTTAAACGTTTTTTTCAAATGCTTTGCAAAGCTACGTTGCGTGTCATCAATCTTACGTTTCTTCAATTTTAGTTCACCTGTCGTTGAATCAATTTCAAACTCTGGCTCATTCATATCGCCTCGCGTTTGTAGTCACTAATTTATCCTGATTGTGATAGCTGGCGTGCAGACTGCATGTAGAAGCGCGAGCTTGCGAATCAGAGCTTACACGTTTGTTGCGTGAATGGTCACGTGAATTTTGGAACGACTCCTGATTGGCCAATCACTAATTATACCAAATTAATGTAAACTTACAGTGAATTTGTGTCAGATATTTTTATAGTATTTGTGACATATGTCGACTATACCTGACGTTTTTTCTTTGCCTAGGAGCCTGTTCCAAAGCTAGTCATGTCAGCTTTTGGACAAGGAAAATTTGCTCGTGTGTACGGCCGCCAAGGAAATCTTGTACAAGAAATATTTCTATACATTGGTTTGGTAAACAAAAGGCGGTCTAGCTTGACGTGAGATAAATGTTAAACGGCATTCCGGTACCTACGTGCAACAAAACATTTCAAGGAAAACTTGTCAAGGAAAACTTGTCAAGGAAGACTTGGTGAACGTATGCACGAGAAGCCCCATACATACGAGCAAGTGTACATCGCAGCTGTGTGTTGCTGACTGCAGACGCTGCAGTATACCTGATAAAACCTCTGTGATAAAACGGCGTCGAACTGTTGTTCATTTATCTACATTTGTACACAACAAAAATGAAATATTCTAAAAAAGAGAGGGGGGTATATAGGAACCCAAAACAGCATCATGTTTCTGTGGGTATTTTGTCTAATACCAAGTGGTATAAAATACTAAACGCTCTGAGTTTGAGCGACATCATTTTATTAGTATAAAGGCTAGTTTACAAAATCATTGAAATATCGTGGCCTTTTCAACTCTCACGAAGACGCCAATCTAGACGATTGCCGGCGTCTTCGTGAGAGTTGCAAAGGTGTTATAAATGGTGTTATACATTAAAAAAGCGCTTACTATAGAGTTTAGGCAGTTGTGAGTTAGATATTCACAACTGCCTTAACTCTATAGTAAGCACCTTTGTTAATGTATAACACCATGTGATATAGCAATAAATTAGCAACTAATAAATAGCAAGTTAAAACTGTTTACTTAGGGAAGCCTCACATATCGATTCTGTCCACGAGAAACGTCATATGTTCGTTTCTCTGGAGACCTCCCCCCCACCCCCGCTTAGAAACGTCACACATAGTTATCGATATTCTGTAATAATTATATGAACTTAAAAATTTCCAACGTTTCTCAAAACAACTTTTTTGCATGAAATATTCAGGATAATTTTAGCGCGTTTTTCTTGAAATTTGAGTGTTTTCAATGCAAGGAAGGCGTAATAATATAAATGTATAGGTATAGAAAAGGTATGGTATTACGAATGTATAGACTAGTGTTTGTATCAAATTGTTTTCTTTTTTATATTCTGCAAAGATAAAAACTATCGAATTTTTCCATGATGTTTACAGAGAAACGTCACAGCTGCCAACCCCCCCACCCCCAAACGAACATATGACGTTTCTCGTGGAAAAATCGATATGTGAGGC